AACGGCCAGAGCTGAGCCAATCCGAAGCCAGGAGCCAGGAGCATCATCTGGGTCTCCCACATGGGTGCAGGGTCCCAAGGTTTTGGGCTATCCTCGACTGCTTCCCCAGGACACAAGCAGGGAGCTGGATGGGAAGCAGAGCTGCTGGGATTAGAACTCGTGCCCATATGGGATCCTGGCCCTAGCCTTTGTTTTCCTTACATGTTTTGTTAATTATTTAAAAGGGAATTTAAAAAGAAAGGAAGGCAAAGGAGGGAAGCCAGCCAGGCAGCCAGGCAGACTCTCCTCTAGTTGTCTAAGAATTCATGCCAACCTCCCTTCTGGGCATAAGACCCTCCAGCTGCAAGGAAGCTAGAGCCAGCTCAAGCCAGTTATCCACAGTTTACTTACTAACTCTGGCTCTCCTCAAAGGAGCTTGACAGCAGGGGTCTTTCATTCACATCAACAAATGAATGTAAGAGTTGCAACACAAGGCTGGAAGCACTCCTGCTGGGGTCCCCCTCCCCCATTACCCCCAATCATCTTGTGGAGTCAGACAGCTCTTGCAAGGGCCAGCCTTGCCAGAAAAGAGCAGGAGGTACAAGCGGGCCAGGAAGATGCGCAGCTGGCAGGCCCTTTCTGGAGGTGGAGATGGAACAGATAAGGAAGGCAGGGGCAAGAGGATGGCTCTGGAAGGCCCAACAGGCCCGGCTGTGTCTAAACAGTCACACTTGGCTGCCCTTTTGCCTCGGCTCTCAGGGGCCCACGGAAAGCGGTAATGGTGGTGTAAGGCAGAAGGCTTTCACTCCATCACTCCCTCTGGCCCTCCCTTGGCAGAATTTCCAGTTCTACTGGCCTGGCTCCACCCCTCCCTCACTCATCTCCCTACTGCCTACCCAGGACTCACTCCAAAGGCCTGGCATCCTGCTTCCTGCCAGCCAGCTGTTTCCTCTGGTCCCTCCCCCACATTGTGAAACACAGACACACACTGGACTTTAGACAGAAACTCTGCTTATCAGGCAGTCCCAGGCAGACGAACTCCAGGTTTTCAATGCCTGAAAAACTCCCGGCCACAACCCTCCACAATGCTGTCAGTGCTTCTGCAGCCCCTTCCTGAACTTCTGGAAAGGAAACAGGTTTGAGTTAAGAGATCCCCAGGGTCTCTCCCTAGAGCTGACAGACATTAAAAAAAAAAAAAAAAAATCCAATCTATCACATGTAAAAAGGTATATAAGATTTTCAGTCTACATTTGGGGGGGGAGGCAGGGGTGGGGCCAGTCATTTCTGTTTTCCAAGTACCTCTTGGACTCAGCTGAATTACTTGGGGTGGGGGGAGCAGGTGGACCCCAGGAGTCAAGTTCACCATGCCAATGTCAGTATGAAAAGATCTCTAGGATACATGAACTAAGCAAGACACAACAGAATGTTCACACTATGCCTCTTCTTGCGTAAGAAAAGTGAGAAACAAATGCATTTTTCTGTGGAGTTGTATCTGTATAACACAACACTGAAGAACTGGGGGGGGGGGGAATCTGTAGGGGGTGTCAGAACACTTAGGAGACCAACATTCCCACCATTATGATTTTCCAACCCTGTCAACTAAACTATTTCTTTTTTCTCCCAAGAAGAACAAAAAGCCCAAGACCAAAGGGCTTCATGTTAAATTCTATCAAACCTCAAAATTCTACTTATTTCTATTTATTTGAAAGGCAGTGAGGCACACAGTTTCCATCCGCTGGTTCTCAAACGCCTGCAACAGAAGGCTGGGCCAAGTCAAAGCCAGGCGCCCTGGTCCCAAACCAGGTTTCCCATATGAATGGCAGCGACCACCCCCCCACCACCAACAACAACAAAGGATTTGGACCATCATCCGCTGATATGGGCTACAAGCAAAGCAGTAGCTCAACCACTGAGCTGAATGCCTATCCCACTAACCTATTCTTAAAAAGCATTTTTTTTCAAACCAGAGCATGCCTATCCCAAAATGAGGATAGACTCCAGATAAACCACACAAAGAAACTGAAAGGGAAAACATTATCATAGTGAAAGTGTTCTGGAACAAAAAGGGAAAGAGTGAGCCTGAGACGCTGGAAATCCCACTTCCAGTGGTTACCTGTGCCCAGTATCAGGTGTGGGGGAGGGGACCGTTCCTCCCGGGAAGTGGAGGGGGTGGAGGGAACAGCGATGACTCACGCCTCCACAGCCTTGTGTTAAGTGTTCCTGCATCATAAAGCCGAAAGGGCTGGAGTGCAAATTCTCAGTAGGAAATACCAGGACTTGAAACTGTTCCCAAAGCAGGGGAGCAACAGGCAGCAGCACCCCAACCCACATTCCTGCACTCCCCACCCCCACCATTACGCCTAAAGCTGACTTACCCAATGCTTTTCCAGCCTGGGAGAAACTGCTCAACTTGTGCAAGGGCAGGTTCTCCAGGGAAAGGGAACTGGAAGAACGGTTGGATCAGCAGCTTTACTGTTCCTGGGCCCAGCTCTCCCTGGATCTGGCCTCTGCACCCCTCCCCACCCCCTTCTGCTGGCCTGGTCAATCCTATTTTACCCTTTCTTCTTCCTCCCTGTGGGCAGAACCCACAGGATAACTACCCCTGGTGGGAAGGAGAGAACATGGCGGCAATCTGTATATACATGTTCCAGCCATCCTGGGAGCAGAGGACAGACCAGTCCCCCAGGAAAGGGCCCCTACACTGGGGCTCCAGCCATTTAGGATCTCCCAATTTCCTCTGACCCACTCTTCTGTGGACGACATGCTCTCGTTCTCATAAAATCTGAAAGGGATAATGGCTTCCCAACAATCATCCCTCCTTGTAAAAGTAATGTGCCTATTATACCTGTTGATCTTCAACAAGAACAGGAATGTATTATTACTCCTGTTTTACAGATGAGACTAATCAGCCAGCCTAGGATCACAAACAAAGCTGACAGGAAGCACGCTGGAGCCGGGGGCGGGGGTCCTGGCGTCCCTTTGCATCCTCATCCGCTCTCCCCACCCCAGGTCTATCATAATTTATGACAAGGCTATTATTCCTCCACATCCAGAACCCACCATCCTGCCAAGCAAAAGTGACACCATTTCAGGGTCCCTCTGAATCACCATTGCTTGGTTCTGTGGAGACTTAACAAAGCTCAAAATACTGTTAGCACAATCCTTTCGGCACCAGGATGTGATTATTGTAGGACTGCCATAAATAATATGGGAAATTAGAGGTAAAGAAAGGCTGGGTGGGGAGAAAGTAGCTGTGGGACAAGAACCAGACAAGTAACGTCACCGATCAAAACTGTTAGGTATCAAATCGCTGACCCAGAAGAGACTTGTGAGTGTAGTGGGGGCAACACTGGTTGGTAGTCTTTAGTGCTTTAAACCAAAACACTACAGGTGTCATTACCAGTGCTAAGAAACAGGAAGGGGCCAGGTACTGTGGGGCAGCAGAATAGGCCACCAACTGCCACACCGGCATCCCATATGAGCCTAGTTCAAGTGCTGGATGAAGTTCCAGGTCCCTGGCTTGGACGTGGTCCAAGCTGGGCCATTTTGATCATTTCAGGAGTGAACCATGGGATAGAAGATCTCTTTCCCTCCCTCTCTTCTTTAAAAAAAAAACATACAGGCAGAAGCAAAAATAGATGAGGGGTACTGAAAGAAAGGAAATTTAAAAAAGGGAAACGGAAGAGTAAAACAAAAGGGAGAAGGAAGCCAGAGAACCTAGTGGGAAGGCATGACCGCGGGGGTGGGGGAGTAGAGATGCTGGATCCAGGGAAGAGTGAGGGCTGTAGTTCGATCACCAGACTCTCCCTCCAACCCTCTAATCGAGCTAAAGTCACTTCCTTCTCCAAAGGATTGCCTATCTGTAAAATCGGGAGGGAATCTGACTGCTCATAATACAGTCAATGTGTTTATGACTTTGAGATAAGGGTAAAGGCTCAGGAACCAATTCGAGAGCAAAGAATCTACTTCTGCCTTCCAAAGCAGTAAACAATTGCTCTGCAAAACACCAAGACGATTGGAACCACTCATTATTTTGACAGCAACCTTGAGCGGAAAGAGAAGCATACAGCACACACGCCAACACCACCACAAGCACAGACACCCTCAAGAGTCCGTCTGAAAAGGCACGCCGGCGCCGACACCAGCCGACGAAGGCACCAACAGACTGCACACTCGGCCCCACATAAACACACCTAGCCAGGGAGAGAGAGGCAGGCCTCAGCAAGCGAGCCTCATTGTTCCTCCGGGAAGGGAGTTTACAAAGGAAACAAACCCTCCGATATGCGGCCAGGGCAGGGCAGCATGGCAGCTCGCAAGCCAGTCAACCCAGGGACACCACATCTTGTGCCAAGGGAACCGTCCCCCGAACAACATTTCTCCAGAACCGCCAGGTAAGTTGTTCCAGTAAGGAACGTCAAAGGCTGTGTGTCCAGAGAATCCACCGATTTCGACCCAATGCCCTCTACAGACCCGCCACCCAGATCCACTTCCCCGAACCACCTCGGTAACTAGAGAACCCCTCTCCCCATCAGCAAAAAAAAAAAAAAGCCCAGGAGGGCGACTTCCATCCCGGTCCACCTCCTTGACATCCCCCGCTCCCCGAGGACCCTTCTGGAGCCCAGGGAGCCAGGGGTGAGAGGCTCGCGCGCCCCTGGGGTGATTCGTGCGTGCTGGGTGCGCGCGGACGCGGGTGGCCGGGTGGCCATCAGTGAGGAGGGTCCTGGCGCCCGCCAGCCCCTGCCGACCGCGCAGTGGAACCCCACTCTCCCCGCGAAGCCGAACGGGGTGCAGAATGGGCACCTCCCCCACCCGCGCCGTGTGAGGGGAGGGGTCACAGGGGGGAGGGGAGCCGGCCGCTCGCGGGGTGGCGAGGGGTGGGGTAGACGGGGTGGAAGCCAAAACGAGGGTGAGGCCGACAGATAGCCCAACTCCTCCCTCTCCCGCGGGCAAGGGGCGTGGGGAGCGTCTCCTCCACCCTCTGACCCGACCCACTGATTCCTCCCGAAACTCCGGGAACTTACACAGCACCGCCGAGGTGAAGAGAAGCAACTGTTTCCTCCCGACGTCTGCCTTTGTCCCCATCGCGATTAATCCCCCGATCGACGGCCGCGGCAGCCCTGGGCACACACACAGCCTCGCGAACCGTAGCGCGGGGACTAAACTCCTGCCGCCAGGTTGAGCCCCGCCCGGCCCTGCCCCCCACGCCCCATTGGCCAGCGCCCCGACTCTGCGCGTTCTGATTGGCGGAAGCAGCCGCCGCTCCGAGGAGTGAGTCACCTTAGCCAGGTGCGACCCTGCGCGTTACTCACCACAGGGTCGGATTGGCACCCTACGTGCGCAAGGCGCCTCTGATTGGCCCAGGAGGCGGCTTCGAATTCCTCAGCTTCGGCAGGTGAGAGCCCCCTGATTGGGCTGCGATCCTCAAGTAGGGGCGTTCTGACTGGCTGGGCTCTGAGGAGGAGATGGAGGACGGCCTCTGTGTTTTCCTAGGAGGAACCGGTCGGGCCGTGCGCCCCGCGAGGATTGGACCGGCTTGTTGAAATGCAAATTGCTTGGCGTTCCGTAAACCTTGATTCATTCCATGGCAGGCGTTGGGGAAGAGAATGCGCTAGTTCCTCTGTCCACTCTCTCTATTGACAGCGCTAGCTGTTTTCCGTACACTGCTGATGTGCAGCTTTTCCATTAACATCTGTGTTGCTACTGCTCAACACCGTTATTGTTTGCAGCGTCCATTTACAAAGACTTCATTCCAACCGTGCAATGTACATTTCAGTGTGTCTGTAGGAAAAATTAGTGACCAAAAATACCTAAACATTGCAACTGAAAAGTCCACACTTTCATTCATTCAAAAGAATAGTATCTTTAATCTTTTCCCTCCTTCAACTTTAACAAATAAATTATTTTCAGTTTCTTTTTTGAATGGCAGGGGACAGACAAGAGGGGCAAATGCAGAGTAATAGTCCATCTGCTGGTTCATTCCCCTCAAATGTCCAATATAAGCCAGACCTAGGCCAAGCTAAAACCAGGATCCCTGAACGCAGTCTGGGTCTGTCATGTGATGGCAGGGACCCAAGTTCCTGAGCCATCACGTGCTGCTTCCAGGGCTGTGCTAGCTGGAAGCTGCATCAGAACCTCCATCAGAGGGGTATCAGAGTCCCAAGTGATAACTTAACCAGAATGGCAGTAGCCCTACCCTGTCTACCACCCAGACTCACATTCCTTTCTTCACAGGTCTTACTACAAAAGTTCACTCCCAATACCCACTTTTTTAAAAGATTTATTTATGTTTATTACACAGTCAGATATATAGAGAAGAGGAGAGACAGAGAGAAAGATCTTCCATCTGATGATTCACTCCCCAAGTGGCTGCAACAGTCAGTGCTATGCTGATCCGAAGCCAGGATCCAGGGGAGGATTCAGAGACTGAGCCATCACACCAGACCCAAATGGTGAGTTCTTTTTAAGGATTTATTTATTTTGGCAGCCAGCACCCTGGCTCAACAGGCTAATCCTCCAACTTCAAGCACAGTCACCCCATATGATCACTGGTCATGTCCCAGCTACTCCACTTCCAATCCAACTCCCTACTTATGGCCTGGGAAAGCAATGGAGGCTAACCCAAGCTTGGGGCCCTGAAACCACCTTAGAGAGACCTGGAAGAAGCTCCTGGCTCCTGGCTTTGAATTGGCTCAGCTCTGGCCATTGCCTCTATTTGAGGAGTGAACCAGTAGATGGAAGATTTTTCTTTCTGTGCTTTCCTCTCTTTAAATCTGCCTTTCTAAAAAATAAATAAATATTTTAAAAGAAAATTTAAGCTATTAAAAATCAAGTGCTTTTTGTATTGGCAGCAATTACTCCATTTTTGTTGTTGTTACTATTTGTTTAAAGATTTAATTATTTGAAATGCAGAAAAAAAATAGGAGACAGAGACACAGAAAGAAATGGTCTGTCTACTGGCTCACTCTACAAATGACTTCAACAACTAGATCTGGGCAAGGCTGAACTCTGAAGCCCAGAACTCCAACTAGGGTCTTCCATAAGGGTAGAAGGGGCCCAGGCAAGCACTTAGACTGTCTTCTGCTGTCTTCCCACATGCAGTAGCAGGCAACTAGATGCGAAGCCAAGAAGCCACAACTCAAAGCGTCACTCGAAAACAGGAGCTTGCCAGTTCCTATTTCCTAAATTGTTTAAATACTGAAAGGCAGGAAGACGGAGAAAGAAATAAACAAAGACAGACCTGTCTGCTGGTTTACTCCCTAGAATGCACACAGCAGCCAGAGCCGGGCTGGGCTAAAGCCAGAAGCCAGGAACTCAATCCAGGTCTCCCACATAGGCAGCAGGGACTCATCACCTGCTACTTCCCAAAATGTATATTAGCAAGAAATTGGACTGAGAGTAGAGCTGGGACTTAAACCTAAGCTCTCTACATGCAATGTAGTCATTGCAAACTCTACCAAATACCCATTCCTAATTTTTTTTTTTGGGGGGGGGGGACATCCTCTATTGCTTCCCCAGGCCATAAGTAGGGAGCTAGATGGGAAGCGAAGCAGCTGAAACACAAACTCACACCCATATGGGATACCGGCCCATGCAAGGCAAGGATTTAGCCCACTAAGTCATCACACCAGGACCACCCATTCCTATTTTGAGATAGGTATAAGTCTCACAACCTTTCAGTCTCTGGGCCAGACGTCTTCATATCTTTTCAGTTGTCCTCATGCAACAGAGGAGCACAATTTTCCCAGAGCAAGTCTCCCTTCCCAGGGTCATCCTGTTCGTCACTGTACCAAGAATTCAGCCAGGCACTGCAGAAGCCATCTCCCCTGAGACAGATCTCAGTTCAATACCACTTTCCTGATTTCTAACTTTTTGTTATTGCCCATTTCACATCCCTGAAACTTACTGTACCCTGAAGATAGATATGATGAAAGCTATATCATTTACCTAGATAAAGATTATATTATATATAAAACATGTAAGTGCTTAGTACAGGACCTGGCACATTTTAAGCAATGAAATGATAGCTATCCTCATTACTCTATCTCAATGATCTTCATTTACTAAGAATGCATTTATAATGCAATAGCAGTATTACATTGTTGAATTAGTTGTATTCAGTTTGCAACAAAGTGAAACAAATTAGATTGTTCTAAGTAAAAAATTAAGTCAGATCTCCAGTTCAGCCCTGCCTTGGGGCTAGGGCAAATGGAGCCTCCTACAGCATGGTGGCTATGGGGGGTGTCCCCCGCCAGGCCGGACCCAATGCTGGGGACTCAGGCCGTGGTCACTGCTGCCAAGTTGTGACCAAGTCCTGGGCTATGGGTGACCAGTGCACCTATTTGGCACCAGGCTCTGCCTGCTGGTCACCTGGCAGCAAGCTCTGGGGATTTTAGCGTATGTAATTGCTGCCTAGAAACATCCATGGATAAGCCCAGTGTGAGTGTAGATTTGGGATGAATCCTAGGTGATTCCCAGAGAAGGGGTCACGGGAATTGCTTACAAGCCTGGGGACTGAGATCTGAGGGTTTGGAAGGGAGATTCCATAAGTTCTATTTGGACCAGACTGATTCACCAACCCAAATGGAAATCCTGAGATGGGCTATTAGCGTAGAGAATCGCTGACTGCCACACACCAGTCTACATGAAAGCTATGGATGGGGACCTATCTGGCAGGGCTAGGTACTAGTACCAGACCAAGTGGTGGAACAGGGGATGGGTCACACTTGGCAGGGTCAGAACACTAACCAACACACAAGAGAACCAGATCCAGGGGTAGATTCTTTAGGGGACGTGTGGGCCCAACCCTGTGGAAATAGAAGTCCCTTTGCTTAGCTCGCAAGTTGGGGTGGTGATGGGCTGAGCTATGTGTGACCATGGAATGTGCCATCACTTATGGGTAAAGGAACCAAACAACAGTCTGGGTGGGTCAAGGCAGCAGTACCCGAATGTGCACCCTAAAATAGGATTTGGGGTGGGCCGAGCTGCAACTGGAAGGGAACAGACCGGACAGGGCCAAGCAAACCTCAACTCACAAGGAACAACAGAATTCAGGATGGAGCACGGGTCATGCCAAACTAGGCTCTTACACTGACTAGTCTGGATGAGTCGGTGTACTAGGCCACAGCATCTAAGGCAATGGCTGAGATAGGTGAGGGGCTATGCCAACTGGGTCAGAGCAACCACTGACACATGAGTAATCGAGGGCTGGGAATAGACCTGGTTGGGGAGCTGTGAAAATATACCCTTGCTGGGTTGGGGATACCCCAGTGAGTACAGGGGCTAGAGTGGGGGCTGCGTTCTGGTCTGGATATGAATATAGTTGCAGTGTCCCTTGGCACAAGTGTGAACTGGGGCTGGGTGCATCTAACCAGGCTCGACTCCAGCACCATCTGCTGCTTGGAGAACCTAGGTAGATGCAGGACAGACTAGGCTAGGTCTCTGCCCCTACTGAACTATGTGTGAGCAGTGTCTGGGTATGGACAAGCCTTGGCTGGGCTGAAATATCCAACAATAAGAACTGAGATGGGTTGAAGGCCAGTCAGGAAAAGCCACTGTTACTGCCAGGACAGGAGCTGGACTGAGTAGGGCTGGCCCATGGACCCACCGGTATGCACAAGTTCTGGCACAGGGAGAGGTTCTGATGGAGGAGCTTGGGAAACTCTTCTGTCAGGACACAGTCCCTGCTGGTGAACACAAGAACCATGATAGGGAGCAACCCAGACCAGGCCAGAGAAAGATACTCACAGGCATACATTTGGCATGGGTCAAAGGCAGACCAGGCTGAACCAGTTCACACCACCTTTTGCGAATCCGAGCACCAGAACAGAGTGGGGGTCAGGTCGAGTTCAGTCACAACAAATACCAGTGCACATTACGGAAAGTCAAGCTGAGGTGAGCCGTACCAGATGTGGCCACAGTGCCCAACTAGCACATATGAGAACCAGGGAGGGAGGGGGCAAAGCCAGCAGGGGGAATGTGGGCTCCCCTGCTGGACAACTACTCCCACTGGAGATCCTGAATTGGGTCGGTGGCAGACCAGACCAGACAGGGCTGCAACACCTGTGGGCTTCATATGAGCTAGATCAGGGAAGGACCAGGCTGGACTGACTGTTCTGACTGATGCAAGCATAAATAAAAGTGGGTGAGGGTTGGTTGGGCTTAGCCACA